TGTTCTCTGTATTCTTCACACATATATTTGTAGCTCTGTAGTCTATTGTATTAGTGACTATTTCTCCCAGTACTTTTCCATGGCCTTTTCTTAAGCAGGAAGATGAAACAAGTTCCGAGAGCTCCAAGTGAGGTACATCTTGGTTCTTCCTAGGAACTAAGGCTGAGAAAAACTCTTTCAGATACATTCTCATTGCCAAAGTACAGTAAGTGCTGAAGGGGGGCTTCAGAGAAGTGGCTTGTCCTGGGGGGGGGGGAGATTCACCATGATTTGTCCTCCTAATTGATGCTTTTCATCAATTATGCTAATGTCCAAAAACCTATAAAAATGTACTCACCCTGGGAGAGGGGGGCTTTTTTGGACATCTATCCATAACTGCCTCTGAAGTCCTTCAAAAAATAATCCTCTTTTATATAACCTCCTTACTGTGGAGGGTGCAGAATATAATCTTAAAGAATAAAGTCCTTCTGCATCCTCAGAAAAAGCCCCTTGGAAAACCATAGCTTAAAGATCAGAAATGGCTTGTTAAATGACGAATACAAAAGGAATCCAGCTTCCCCCCCTTAGTAGACCCTCTTATCTATCTTCAATATTAGTGGCTCATTTTCTTTTAGTAAGCATAGGCTAACTTTGAATGTAAAATCCCTTGGGGATTGGTTAGAATGTAGAATTCCCTTGATAATTGGTGCAAACTGCAAATCCCTCAAAAGATATAAACACCCCTGTAAAACAATAACTGTTGTATATGCTAGATAGTATGCCTTCATAGAATAAAAGATGGATTTGTGCCTTTGTGCATATCCCAGTCTCTTCACCTCGCTGGTCTGAGAGCTCACTGCGAGCCAAAATTCTATCTGGGCAAGGCTCGGGAACGTGCTCCATCACTGAGGGCTGCAGAAGCAGTCTTAGGGATCCCAAAGGGACCCCAAAAACCCCACCAGCAACACCTTACCAAAATTATCTCGAGTTTCATTTCCAGGTTGGGCAAAAAGCAACATCTGCTTTTGTTATTAATTCATTTATAAAAATATTTTTCGTTATTTTTCACAGAAACAATTAAGTTAACTTCTAATGGAGCTTTCATCTGTCTATTTTCCTTTCTTCAAGACGTAACAAAAACCTTAAACACTTCCTGATCTGCCTTGCCCTCTGTCAAAAGGTGATGCACCTTCTTTTTTCCCTGAGTTCCTGGAAAAGCTCCATGCCCAGCCAGGCCAGTCATTTTCCTCACTTGCTCACTTTTGGCACACAGGGACAGTCTGCCTCTGCTCCTTCAAAATTTCTTTCTTGAAGTACGTCCATCATTCCTGGACTGGTTTTTCTTAAGGACTGTTTCCCTTAAAAATATCAGTTCCTGATTCGGTACACTCCAAATCTGCATCCTGAATGGGCCAAAGTCTGCTCTCCATCATTCCAGTGTACAAGTTTTGTTGATGCCCCTCCTTCATTCACAGAATATTGAAAACTCGATTATTTCATGGTCACTGTACCCCAGGCAGCCTCTGACCACCACATCTCCCACCAGCCCTTCTCTGTTTGTGAACAGCAGGAGACAGAGTTTTCCTTGGGAGTAGGAATGGTACCAAAAATTTGGTAACATAAAAAACCCCTTAACACCAATGTAGCAGCAAAAAGCAGCATTGTTTATTTGGCTGGATGCTCAGGGGGACAGCTCCTCCCAAAGCCGTGCATGCTGAGTACAGGAAAGTTTCTGTTTATATTCTGTATTTTGCATATGTAATGATTGATTGTCCTGGACTAAACACACATATGATAATCATTTTCCCCAAATCATTAACATATTGCCCCTGCCCTTACCCATGGGTTCTTCTGTCCTGGGGGTTTCTCTGGTGGTCCCTGGTGGTCGTGGACCCCAATGTTCCAGTTCAGCCTGGGTGAGTTGGCAGGACCCTGAGGCTGGGGAACTTCCAGTTCCCCTTCTCACACAACGGGCATTGTGCAGTTCCCAGAGGCCAGTGGTTTTGGAGAGAAGAATTGTGTTAGCTCACCTGGGGTGGGCAATTTATCATCTGGGAACATGAGGTCACAGAGTGGGCTATGACATCTCAGAGTGGGTAATGTGAGGTCATCGAACACCTATGATATCATAGGCTGGCTGTGTGACATCACAGAGCTGGTTATGACATCATGGGGCAGAGGTATGACATCATAGAGCAGACAATAACATAGCAGAGCAGGCGGTGACATCACAGAGTGGGTTGTGACATCAGAGACCAGCTGTGTGACATCACTGAGCAGGCTGTGACATTACAGGGCGTCTGTGGGATCTCATAACAGGGCTGTGTGAGGTCACTGGGTTGGTCACTCTGCCCCAGCCCCCCCCCCCAGTTTCCCCAGACAAGTCCAATGCTGTTCATGCCCAGCAGGGTCCCCTGTCCCCCGGGATCCCCCTGGTCCACCTGGAGCCACAGCCTCCCCCAAG